GAAGCTGATTTTAAAGTTGGGGATAAAGTATTAAAGCGGAAATTTTCTTTATCAAGTGCACCAGACAATTTTACTGCAAAGTTGGCTCCAAAATTTGACGGCCCTATGTAACTCAGGAAATCAAGGGAGTCGTATTGTACCTTAAGAACGAGAGAGGGAAAATCTGTAAAGCAAGTCCCAACCAGGTGAAAAAATATTATAATCAAAATGATTTTGAAATCCTTAAAGGTTTCTTGCAGAAATCAAGCGCAAAAGAAGTGGTAGGCTCAGAAGTAACGCCCTCCGCTCCACCACCCAAGAAGCAGAGAACAGAAGAGGAACCTAGCCCTTCTACAAGTCATGCTACGGTACCGAAAAGAAGAAAGGAAAATGTTCAGACTCCAGCATTCAAGAAATACATGAAATCAACGCCGCCGCGTAAAGAATCTTTGGTAAATAGGAAAAGACCAGTTACAACGTCCCGCAGTAGAAATTCTGCGTCGAGGAAACCACTTCCAGGGCCAGATAGTCAGGAGCAAACAAGGCCGCCGTTCACGAGAACAAAAAGACAGAAGGAGGAACGAAAAGACCACCACCAACAGAAGAAATTCAAGAAGCACTCCAGACCGGAGTACGTCAAGACCAGCCGTCCAAGGGAAAAACGAAAAAGACAGCAACCCGACGATTACGACGCCAAGAGGCCAGCATGCAGAGGACGCAAAAGAAAAACTAATGTGGACGACACTCGGAGGTCAGTAAGGAGAAGATTGACGTCCATGAAACCTATAACGTGGGAACAGTTTTGCCAGAAAAGAATGACGGAGTTTCAATCATCGAAAACTCAAAGATAAGTTAAAATCTTCTATAAAATGTTTTTCTTTTGTTCCGAAATGTTATGCGTAAGTACGAAGCTCTATGTTTTGACGAAAGTCAATTTGTCTCGGTTTAGACTTAGTTTTGTTTTACTTTATTTAGCTAAGGCAAAAGTATTTTTTCTTTAAGTATAAAATCTAAGAGCAAGCAGTTCCTGTTGGTCGAAAGACTAATTCTGTTATGTTAAAGCCAAAATTTGGCCGAAAGTAAAATAACTTCGTATTCTTGTATTAATGAAAAATTTAGTTTCAGTGCCGCCAGCTGGGCGAAGAATGCGTGAAGTTAAACTTTATTTTTATCTTATTCATTTTATGGTAAATTGTAAAAATCATATGTATTAGAATTTTGTAAATATACGTAAATACTTGAAAGTTATGTAAAAGTAGAATTTAGTCTAGAAGCATAAAATTTTAGATGCTAAAAGTAAATACTCGAAAGAAATGAATTCAAATTTAAGTATTAAACTGTAGTTAAAATCATGCTTTAGAGAGAAAGCCTGCATGTCTAAAGATGAATGAGGTGGAATTAGAATAAATGTGTTTTGTAGGGTTCTCCACCTACACTTGAATTTTTAAGAATGTTAAAGTAGCTCATCGAGTTGTAGAATGTCGATTAAGGTGTGTCTATTTGGTTGTTGGAATTCTAACAAATCATTGTGGTTAGGGGAAGTGTTGCAATACTAAAACACGAATATTCCCGTTTGACACCACACATGGTGGAGAACCAGGGTAAAGTTAAATTCATGTTTGAATACTTGAATGAATGTGAATTAAGCAGTTAATTAAGGAAAATAAAACCATCAAAAACGAAAACTTTATCCAATGTTAAGAAAGTGTAAATCATAATGTATTTAGAAGATACTGATACTTATTCCTTCCAGATGCTGAAAGGAAGAGAAAAGATTGATTGCTGAAGACCGCGAAAGGTTCCTGTAAGAAGAGATGGTAAAATTATGTACCTACAGAAATTTATTCTAATTTTTGAGAAAACAGTTTGTTTTATGTAAACGAGGCTCTTCAGTTTTCGTTCAGAATGTGGAAACTTTTTCAACAGCTCGTTTCTAGGACCTGCTTCCAAGTTTACCAAATTCTGGAAGCGGCAAATGTAGGGTTTATATTTATTTTAACTAACATTTATTTTAAGTTTAAGCTATCTTTCCTGTCAAGCCTTTACTTTCCCCTGGAATTGCCAATGCCAGAATTGTCCAATGGAATTGCCAACAGAGTATGTAAATTTTAGTAGAACGCGCAGAGTATTCAAATTTTTAGCAGAAGTAATTTTGAGTTAAATAGAAGGGAAACGAGTTTGTAGGTGTGCTTTCTTGATTCACGAGCGTGAAGGTTGCTAGATAGAAATTTAAGAACTGCGCGTTTCGGCCTGTGTGCCTACTTCGGCAGTTAGTTGAATCTTTCAACTTCTTATTCAGAAAGTTTGCTGAAATCTCAGCTGTATCTTAGAACGCGGTTAAGTTAGTCACGTTTACAGAGCCTCGTAGGTAGTGACTTCGTTATTTTATTTATTTTTAGTTGTAGTTTTTTCTATTTTTATTTTACCACCGGGTCGGCGTAGTTTGTGAGCGTCAAGTGAACGCATCTGTAACTTCTAAAGTGGAATAAAAAGGGAGTTAAACCCTTCTTAAGTGTTTGTGTAATTTCCAGTTCATAGCAGTCACTACTACTGTTGCGGGCAAGTTGGGCCACGCAACACCACACTGTTATAAGAAATCCTCAAAAATATTCGAAGAAATGCTTGATTTGGTAACTGAAACTTCTCAGAAATGTTCTGAAAATACATCAGAACATATTATAATATAGCGATTAAACTGTTTAGGGAAAAGATTTCATTATTGAAATCTAAACGTCCAACCTTCACAGCTGAAATAATGACACGAACTTGCAAATTATTGTATAGCAGCCCTACGTGTTATTCTCGAATGGCAGCCGTCCTACTTAAAAAAGTTAACATTAAATGCTGGGTACTTTCCAAAGAGATAGATACTTTGCATCTAACCCCCGATAACAAGGTTAAATGCAAAAGTATTTATATCAGAAATCTTCACAAGTGCAAAATCATGAACAGGTTGGGAATCTTTAACTTGATGAGGTTTGTATTAAACTTACTATTACTAAACGGTAAAGTTTAAGGTTCCTCAAAAAGCTTCTACCGTTCAAACCATGATGATTTCTTCAATCTTATCTTCAAATAAAGAAGTTGTTGCACTGTTGCTGTCCATAATCTCAAGCCAAATGATTTAAAAATTCAGACTTTGCAGGTGTTAAAATTTTTTCATGATTGTGGCTTCGAGGTTGTTTCCATAATTTCCGAAAACGATGTTAATCATAAATGCTATGCAATGGTGATATGATGTCTGCTATTGAAAATAAACCTTGTTTGGAAAAAAAAATTACTATTTGATTTAGTTTATTTACTGAAATGTATAAGGAATAATAGGTCGAGCCAGACTGAAACCAATCAAACCATCTTTTAATGATACAGATAATAAGCTGTATTATGCAAGTTTATTCCATTTGAAAAAAAAATTATATATCATAGAGCAGCACCATTCTATACAAATAGCTCAAGCCCTTTCGAAAAAAGTATTAAATTCAACCTCTTTAGAAAGGCAAAATGTTTTTACCGCAATTAAATATTTTGATGTAAAGACTGTTGTAGCACTGCAGGGTTTCCCTTAGTGCAATTAACCAATTATTGAAATTTTTGATGATAATGATTGTTTTCAAAAACAAGCAAAACCCCAGAAATTGAAAAATCAATGCTTATTAATACATTAATTTAATATTAGTAATCTGGAGTATCTTTTTAAAGACATTTCGGTGAGTATTTAAATTTATGAAACAAATGTTTGGTTATGAAAACGAGTATTTCTTAATTGCTGTAAATGTTTACACTGAGCATCTTTCTATATATGTCTATGCATAACAAATGGAAAAAAAAAATCAATATGTCAAATAATGTAGAAATGGAATGCATTTACATCGCTATGCTCCCAGATTAATTTAAAAGTAACATATTTTATCGTAAAATTATGATATTAACAATTAAATGTAAATATTGATAAAGCTTACATTTAAGAGATGCATAACTCTCTCTTGAATGTCAATCTTTTGACTTAACGTGACATATTAATATTTGCAGCTCTCGAATTTCTGGGTACGATTTTTTTTTTTATATGAGACAGCAAAGACATAGTTTCTTGTAGTGCTTGGAAATAAATGAAAATATTTAGTTTTAAATGCTAGTCACACTGGTAAAAATTTTATATAATATTTATTTTAATTAGTTTAAAACTATTTGAGTTTGCAATGTTTAATGCTATTAAACTCCATATAATGGTATGTAACCAAACATATAGTATTGCAAAGCATGCTATTGATTAGCAAGCAAAAATTAATATTATTTGAGAAACTTCCCTACGATGCAATCCCATTGTCTAAATCCATTGTTTAGGTATTTTTTTAAATATTGCTTACAGGAAGATAAGAATATTTTTTTTCTTATTACTAGCCCGGGTAAAGAAAGCGCGCTGATCCAAGATAATTTTGGCTGACCGCCCTTGGCTGTGACGTCACCAAACGTTAGCTTCGGCCTTCTCCCATCAAGATGGCCTTGCTAGAGGGCACTACTTGCACTCCAGCAACCAGTGGCAGGCAGGATGCTGAAGGTTGAGGTATCTAGACCCCTCCAGTCAACCCTAGTGACTTTAGTCAAGAATCGCTACATTCTCTTGATGACATTTGTGACTAAGATATTGTAGTAAAAGTGCGATGGACTGCTCCAGTTACTTCCTTGGTAACCAGTTCAAGTGGCGGAAACTCACCTCTGCCATTACTGAACGTTAATGACTTCCGTTAATGACTGGACGTATTTCCCCGGAAGATTTTACATTATACATATTGTAAAATATGTATAATGTAAAATATGTAGGAATGAAGATTTTACATTATACATATTGTAAAATCTTCCTGATAGTACTTTTTGATTACCTCATTCCTATGTAGACCAATTTATTTTTCTAAGTTGTTAGACTATATATTATCCTACTAGGGCCATTTATATCTAGTAACTTTTGGTTTATTCTTAGAGTGAATACAATTTTACTATTTCTGCAATAAAATTAAATTTTGCAGTCTAAAATGGAATAGAAAGAATACAATTCTTCTGAAAGTGAATAGCCAGTTGAGAAACAGAACGTGTGGGCTATGCGGTAAATTTGATGGTTCCACAATGAATGACTTCGAAACTTCAGACGGTAGCAACACTGACAGCGTGGAAGGTTTCGCAAATAGTTGGATAATGGATGAACTTGGAGGTACATATTTTTGGATGTCTTGATTTATTATTCATTTCTTATCAATAACATCAGCTCCCAATTTGATAATCGATTATAAATTTTAAAAAATTTATTAATTGTTTCAGATCTTTGTATGTATACACCTTTCATTATATTTTCCTTTTATACGATTATTTTCAGAAAAATGTCAATATAAAGGTGTTGTCAAGGATCCTTGTTCGGATAATAAAGATAAAGTGACCGAGGCAGAAAAACTTTGTCAAGCGATATTTGAAAAGAAGTTTGAAGTTTGTCATCAGGTGAGTTTGCATTCTTTAATAAACATCGTATTTTCCTACCTGTTTTCCAATTTCATCACACTTACAAATTTATATTTTAATAGAAATGAAAAATATTATGTTATATTTATTATTCAGTTTTTATTATCGTTAGTTCCTCACTTTTACCTACTAATCTTTTGGCGCTGGATTTTGAAAATTTTAAATATATTCACAAAATTTTACCTTTTTTATTTTGTTAATAGTTCTGGCCTCTAAGGGCTGTTTTATTGGTAAATTGCATTCCCTTGTTTATTTTAATTCAGTGTATTCAATTTGTATTTGCAATTTTTTATTAGTATTTCATGCATTTTATTTTCCCTTGCATATTATTTGAAATGTATCTTGTGCACATTCTTCTTTAAACTATCTGAATGTGGCAGGTGTTCTCACACTTAACGAACTTTTCAAGTATATGATTTTTTTCACCTTACTTCTGTTGTTTATGTTAAGTCATTGTAGCCGTATTTACTGCTGGTGTGTTCGATCTTCCGGAATCGGAGTCTTTTTTTCATCCCTTTCTCCTTCTTTCTTCCAGTTGGGAACTGCGATGAGACACATTCATGTGAGGTGCCAGTGGGGCTTTACAAGGTAACTGAGCCACACACCCGTGTCCGGCTCAATATCCATCAGATATTGTTATTATACATTCCAATGTATTCTTATTGGAATGTAGGTTTCTTTTAAAGGAATAATAACATTGTGATAATTCCCAGTCGTTTATCCGTGACTCTTTTTCATTCATTACGTTCTTACCGTAATTGCATTCTTTGAAAAATAAACTTCTCGCATAATTTTCACGTCTCCATTTTCGGACGATAAAATTAGTTAAAAAAGGAATGATAATACGCGAAGAAATACTGCAATAGTTTCGTATACTACTCAGAACCTAATTTATGCAAGGGCAAATAGAGTATGAGCCCCGTAATCCATTTCAGGGGACCTCCAAATTTTTCTCTAATAAATTTAAAATCAGTACTTTTTTTTAGTTCTAGGTTTTATAGAAGCAAATTTAGAAGCAAGAACAGAATTTTAAATTTCGTATTTCAATTTTCTCCATCATTGAAATCATTGGATCGTTATCTTGCACTTTCATTAACGACTGATGAACTCAATCTGTAAGCTGTTACGCTTTTTTACGTAATCTAGCGTTATCTGTAAATGTGAAGCTTGACTTTAAGCTTAATGTGTTATAGAGTCTGTTACGCTTTTCGAAGCAGCAAACACGAAAAAAAATCAGCTAAGCTTTCTTCGGGATTCGAACTTAGATCTCTCAGCTGCTAGCTATTCTTTTTTTTTTTTTTTTTTTTTTTTTTTTTTTTTTTTTTTTTTACGATTCATGACTCAATAACAATAGCCTACATGAATATCTTGAACGGAGAGTGAATAAAGAACAGTGTGCAAAGAGAGAAAGCAGTCAGACGAAGAGCAGGATCAGGAGAATCGATTGAATCGAAATCACTAGCTCATTGGATCTGTTTATTTCAAAAGCAGTTTTGATGTTCCCTCCCAGACCTGGCTGACTCGAGGCGGCCTTACACAGTTAACAGCCACAGTTGATGATTGTTCTAACATAGGTACTAGTATTTTGACAACAGTCAAATCAGACTTTTCTGAAATAACATACCGTTCTTTTCCATATTTCGTTTTTACGGCTCAAATTATGCCTAAAATTTAAATTTTGTAAAATTTGGTGAGAAATTTACAGAGAAATTCCAAAAATTATTTTGGCGTATTTTTTTTTTTTTTTTTAGTTTGCACCAAGAATAATTCATTCGGTGAACTTCTTAATATATTCCAACCTATTTTTCTTTCCCTTCCTGTGCAGTAACGGGAAAAAAGTCACATCGTTCCTACCTTTTTTACATTGTGCATGAGCCGAAAAAAGTCACATCGTTCTTACTTTCAAATAATTTTAACAAAGTGCCTAAAACACATTTGAGTTTGTTATCGTTTTCAACAAATATGCCAAATTTCAAAACGTGCCAGTATGTAAATTTACGTATATCTTTTGAAATTTTGTATCAAAGCTCTAATTTTTTGCAGGTGTGCTTAGAAATACATCTACTTTAAGATAATTGTAAAACTTTTATAGGTTATAATTAAAAAATTTTTTAGTAAAATTTATAAAAAAATTATTTAAAAATAAATCATAAAAAATGAATGAATTTTATTTGGAATGAACCTAAATTTTAAACTGTGTAGGAAGGAATCAAATAAGCTTCATAAAAAAGAGATATTAATAAATACATACCAAATTAAATTAACATTGAGGAGCTAAAATTTTGAGAGCTAATTTTTCAAAAACTACGCTTGCGATTTTTACTAAACTTTACAGTTTGGCGTAATTTGAGTTGTAGAATTGAAATATGGAAACAAATCATTTAAAAAAGTCCTATTTTGTGTCAGAATACCTATATTAGAACAATGCTATATATAAATCTAATACACATCCTAAGTCGCACTTTCCAGACATGAAAAACGCAATTTGAGTTTCGACAATCGGCCCAGTAGAACGAAAAATATAGAACTATCCCATTTTTTTTTTCGCAATGTACATCCCATACTGTAAAAAGTAAGATGTCAACCGAAAATTTGGCATAACCCACGTTACTGTCAACATCTTACTTGCAGAGCCAGGCGGTTTTATGTCTCCATACTCGTAAATACATGGCACAACAGAAAGTTGAAATCGGGTGTTGTATACTAATAGAAATTACAGTAAACAAACACAGCATTTATTGCGAAGTTTTTAGATTTGGTGTTGCTGGCTGAAATTAATGGAATTCGTCAGGGACGGATTAAGCTATTTACAGGCGCTAAGCCCTTAAAAGCTTATGATATGATACATCCATACATTTACAGCACAGAGCTTGTTTTTTCATCATTCCTTCTTTCTCGAGCTTGGTTTAGCTGCGCAATCCATTTCATGGTAAAAAGAAGCAATGAGAAATTTTTCTACTGCTCTTTTCTTGAGTTCCTAAGCATCTTTTTTGTGATGCTCTCTTTCCTTGATACCCTAAGTACCCTTTAGTCATGCCCTCTTTCCTTGATGCCCTAACTATGTGCTTATTTTGCTTAATGGTTAATCTAGCTCTGGAATTCGTTTGTAGTTATATGTGAGAAAAGGGCTTGTCTAGTTATTGTTCTTGGTACATAACAGTTACGATTATTTGGCTTCGTGCGTATTTCGGATATGTGTGTACGCGTTTTATCTTGAAATCGTGTTTACAAGCAATGAAAAATTAGAGGAAAAATTTGAATACAAAGCGAAAAATTTGATGAAGCTCGTTCAGAATCTATTTCATTAAAATTCTTCATGAGTTCATTCTAATCGTCAGGAACCTCAGAAGCACCTAGTATTTGAATTTTAAGAGTTTTCTGCTTGTAACGTATTGAATAGTGTCTTGAACTGGAGGTTTTCTTTTTACATTACATTTACTGCAAAAAACCTCTTGAATGTAATATTATGAGTCCAGTAGCTGTGTAACTTTTTAGGATGAATTATATTAGTTTTTGTTTCATATTCTCGAAGTTATTTAAATTTTTTTATATAGTTGGTAGATCCAAAAATATATTACGAGGCTTGCAAGATGGATCACTGTGGCTGCCAATCTCCTGGTACGTCTTGCTACTGTGGATCACTGGCTGAATATTTCAGGGAATGCATCAGAGTAGGAGGCAAGATAGATGGAGGCTGGAGGAGTGAAGATGTCTGTCGTAAGTGATGATTTCTCAAGCACTTTTATAGCTAATCGAAATTGAAATGAAAAATAACGCGAAAACATTCATTAAAGCGTTTATTTTAACATAACAGACTCAGGCAGAGAAAAAGAAAGGATTTTTTTCTCTTCCAAGAAAAATTATTTTATTATCAGCCTTTTTTAGTTGTTTAGCGTGCCACCAAATATAAACTACATCAAAGGGAAATATAAAAATGTCCACTTACAAATTTGGTCAAAAAGGGTTATATGACTCTATGCTTAGAAAATAACCTCCACTGAGGTTATGCCAGTCGTCAACAAGTAAAAGATTTCCTCAACCAGGGTCTTTCCTCAACCATCTGAGGACATCCAAATTTTCTTTCGCAACTGCAGCAGTGTTAAGCGTGGACTATCATGCAGTGGAATGATCCTCTATAAAAATGACCAAGAAACTGTGTTTTAAGTGCACACTGCAACTGAGACTAAAACCCGTAAAGGATTATTAGTTTAAATCTTTCCACCACCGCCAGCCATTCTCCGGGAAAACCGAACATTTGCAGTGTTGTTCTACTTGAAATGCATTTGATCATGGCATACCCTCAATATGTAATGTCAGACTGTCATGCGAGCAGTAAATATTTTATTAATCGTATAGTTTGGTCGACCCTTAAACCCGCTTGTCTTGACATGAGTCTTACACCCGACATCAAAACTATCAGATGGAAAGTTCTTGATTTTAGCTTATACATATTATAAAGATATTGCGACACTGGGATATTTTGCAAAGAATCTTTTGAAATACACACTGTTGACGATAAAATCAGTGTTTCAAGTAGACCTGTATTAAGCCTCTTTACGTTACTTGTTTTAATGTATAGTTTTCAAATGGGATTGAAAAAAAGCACTTTGAAACTTTTTTGCCTAATCCTCCAATTGCTTTCAATTAAAAAAAAATTGAATTTAAAAATAACTTATCTATATCAAAAGACAAAAGGGCGTCTGCAAATTAAAACTCTGTACCTGTGAATAAATGATTATAGATAATTAGATATTTCGAGACGAGAGCAACGGAAAATCAGACAAGGCATGGGATATCTCTTTTATGTTTGTCTTAATCAGATGACTGAAATCGAGAAAGGTAGTGGGAACTACTGTTGAATCTGAGCTATGTGCATTCACAGAAGGATATGAATAAAAATTACTTTAAATTAAGAATAAAAAACTCAAGTGCTTATAAGCAATCTTAAAGAATTAAATAGAAATATATTGGTTAGGAAATGAAATCAACTTTTATGTTTCCCTTTTCAGATAAAAAACACGAAACAATGTATGAAAAAGATTAAAGTCCTCAATCGAAATTCAAAGGAATAACTGTTTTTAATTCTTGCCCTTTGTAAAAATACTGACAAGAAATCACATCGTATGTTTAACTGTAAGACCTCAGTAATAAAAATGCATAAATAAAAAAGGGGTTTTAAAATAATACAAAAAATACTTTCTAAAACACATTTGAAACCTAAGGATATTATATTTTACATGCTTATTTCTAGGAACTTTATGACTAATGAATAAATTGTGTCTAGTCTTACGCGTTGTTCTCTGCTTTTCAGTTTCTTATTAAAGAAGAGTATTCAGAAAAAAATAAAGAGTAGTATATTAAATAAAATGATGTAAATTTACCCTTTCAAATATGTTTGAGTTTATACCGAAAAGCATTCATTCAAATTTTCATCAAATCACTAATATTTACCAAATTCTAACACAATAACTGAAAACGCAAATATTATTACTTGAACCATGTTTCTGCATAACTTGAATCTTCTATACCTTCATCTAGCACACGATAAATTTGTCTTAAAATACTTAAAGTAACTCAAGGGAAAATAGCTTCTTTTGTTTCATTTGACACCCCAAATCTCCCTTTTAGCTGCAAACTACAAGCAGCCTTCATCTAAAATATTGCACATGTGTCGTGTTATGCGATTTTCTTTTTTAATGTGTATCTTTAATTATCAGTGAAAAATTTCCGAGACATGTATATAAATTTCATATTTTCTAACCCAGTGCTAAGATTATTATTTTAATTTTCATTAATTGATTTTTCAGCTTTGGCATGTCCAGATGGAATGATTTATCAGGACTGTGGAACGTCCTGTCCCAAGACCTGTAAAGGTACTGTTTACGACTGTGAAGGCAATCACTGCGTGGACGGTTGTCATTGTCCTGATGGAACTTACCTTCACAATGGACGCTGCCTAGAAAGACAGAGTTGTCCTTGCCTTCACGGCGGAAAGGAGTATCAGCCTGGAGAAAGAATGTTACAGGATTGTAATGCATGGTAATGATAATAGGTCAAAGTTCTAAAGAAATTGTTGTAAAGACCTTATTTTGAAATAATCAATTATTTTTATTTTAAGAAACTTTCCTTTTCCTTCTGATTTCAATTCTCTGCCTGAATGCAAATTTAAATAACGTATATGCAAACTCTTAATGAGTTCGGAAATAGCACTGTAGCAAAAATGATGAGTTGGAAGTAGAAGAGCTACTTTTGAGTTGAGCGGGTTACGTCGAGAACGCGTTTATGGCGCGATTGAGATTTATGCCGCATGTTTGCAAATAACCGATGTAGCTAAATATTTGTGCTAGCCACTTACTTTTTAGATTATTTGATATTTTATACTCGGCTTTGCTGCGTGCAGCCGATAAATCTGATTAAGATTGAAACAGGAGCGAATCGTGTAGTTGAAATTTGATTCATTCTGATTGCACATACTATTTTGTATTTAAATTACTTAGCCATTAGTGGTGGTTAGTTTGTAACACCGAGTGTGTCAGTTTAGTTAAAATAAAAAGGTTGTTATAATCGGGAGTCATCTGTTTTTCAAGACATAGCGAGAATTCGCTATCTCGTCTTCAATAGGGTCTATATTTTATGCTTCGTAAACATACAAGACTACATCAGGGATGTCAAACTCATAGGTACACTTGGGCCAAACAAACAAGGTTTAACTTTAGACAGGCCGAAAAAAAAAAATCAATATATCAATATTCATAGAAACGTAGATTTATTTCGAATAATACATTAATAAACATATATATATATATATATATAATATATAGAAAGAGCAAGAAAAATTTAATGTTTACGTCCTGATACTTGACATCTCTTCTCTACTATTATCTTTCCTATTTCGGGAGAAATTTTGTTTGCAGTGATAACTTTCAACGCTGACCCAAGGTGAGCATCATTAATATGGTTTCTAATAGGAGACTTATTACCTTTCATGACTGAAAATAACTGCTCGCACCGATAAGCGCTACCAAACATGGAAATAATTCCATACGCGAATTTTCGAGTATTTTCAAACCAGCCTGGTAAATATTTGTAAAATTCAGGCACGCCCACTTCAATGAATTTTGCTTTCAAATTTGAGTTGCATTGAATCTCGATCACTTCCATTTGCATATGGCTGGGTACTGAGTCAATACTTATTGAGAAAATCGAAGAAAACAAAACAAACAAAAAAAATTGTCTTCGAGGGAACTAAAATCATTAAACCTCGTTTCAAGTTCAGTTGTTAAATTTGCAATTTTTTCTGCGTATTTTTGATACGAACAAGTATCATCTAAACTTGATTTATTCATGCTGCACGTCGGGAAGGGCGTCAAATCTTCATTTTTAAGTTGTTCTTCCCAAAGAACTAGTTGACATTTGAATGCTTTAATTATGTCAAACATGTTCGTAATGATATGATCTTTTCCTTGTAACGATAAATTTAAATCGGTTAAGTGTTTGGTTATATCAACCAAGAAAGATAAATCTTGTATCCGATATTGGATCGTAAAACAAACTTACGTCTTGATTTTTCGTTTTTAAAAACTGACATATTTCTTCTTTCAAATCCCAGGAATTGTTTGAGAATCTTGGAGCAAGATAACCAACGTACCTCGGTATAGTAGGACAAACCCGAATATTCACTATCTAACTCACTTAAGAAAGCAGTGAATTGACGCTGATTTAAACCTCGAGATCTTATAAAATTTATAACTTTTTTATATATGACAAAAACATTCTCCATATTTATTACTTTCGTGCATAGAACTTCTTGATGTATAATACAATGCATATGATGAATGTTTGAACCGTGAATTTCACTAAGTTTTTTTCTTAGTAACGCTACGAAGCCCTTGTTTTTCCTGGTCACTGATGGAGCGCCATCTGTAGCTACAGAATTTAATTTTGCCAAAGGTAGATTGTATTTCTGCAGAAGTCCAAAAACACAAGTAAATATATCTTCTGTGGTAGTACCAGGCATCGGTATTAGTTCCAGTAATTCCTCAAAAATGTTAAAATTCTTGTCACAAGAACGAAGAAACACTGCTAATTGAGCTTTGCCACTAATGTCCGTGCTCTCGTCACAGGCAATGGAGAAACTTTCGAAACTAGATGATTTTGCTTTGATCTGATCACTTAAATTCGCGGCTAAATCAGTAACTCTTTCCGCAACTGTATTTCGAGACAATGAAACTTGATTGAAAAGCCTTCACATTTCCAGGACAAACAATTTCTCCAGCTTTCATTAGGCATTCTTTGATGAAATCACCGTCAGTAAAAGGCTTCGAATGTTTAGCTATCAACTCGGACAAGACGTAGCTTGCATGTACCGCCGCTTCACTTTCTTGCAATACTTTACTAAACATGGACTGTTACTTTTTCACTCCTAACTTGAGCTCTTTCAACTTTTCTTCTCTCATTAATCCTTCGTAATTGTTATATTTCGATTTGTGTTGTTCGTAATGACGTTTAATATTATATAACTTTGGTACATTAATAGTATTATTACATATCAAGCAGATTATTTTATCTTTTATTTCACAGCAAAAATATTCTAATTCCCATTTTACTTGGAATATTCTATGTTCGTCAGCGATTTTTCGTTTAATTTTACTACCACTTGGTTTTGATATAGACATACTGAATACAAACAAAGGGCTCGAATAAACACGGTTAACGTTAAAAAGTTAACAAAAATTTATTCTTTCCACAAGAGATAAATCAAAATGCTGAAATATTTCTTCAAAAATATTCTAACAATATCAGAAAATGTCAAACGTTTAGCAAAAGTCAATTAAAAACAGAGAAACTAATTCTATCTCACAGCGAAATCGCTACAAATCAATCACAGCATTAAGTAAACAAACATTTCGCTAGAACTACAGCTACTACTGAGATGAGTTGTTTGTTCTCGGCTTTTATAAGCTTTATAATTAATTTCTTGAATATACTGGAAACATCTATAAATATCTGGATTTTTGTGGATGGCAACAGCAATTACGAGATATTTATTTATTAGGTATTAAATGCACGCGCTTGTTCTATTTTTAACCTTCCAACGCAGCTGTCTTTTCAAAAATCGTCTGCGTTGCTAAGGCAACATGAAGCAAATCTAATTACAATTCTAAATAAAAAAAACTAAATAAATAAATAACTATGAAATCCGTAACAATATGAATTAAGTAATAATTAATAATAAAGCAAAGTGCATGCACATGTATGCACCAATATATCGTACAAAACTATGATTGGAAAACTGAGACCATGAGTTCGGCCACATTCGGCTATCGGGGGATGCGTACAAGTTCTGAGTGCACGTATTCCCCAAAAGCCGAAAGGCCAGTTTACATCTGTCAAAGCTGCTCGTAGCGAGCCGCTCGTCCGGGCGTTTCGAACCGAGTGAACGGACCTGTACTCTGATAGATTGTTTACACCAATCAGAGTGGACTGACAACTCGCTTCCGTTTGTTTACGAAATGGATACCGACGTCGCAGCTGCAGGAAAGAATATGCATTGAACATACATAGATGTTCTTAGGCTGCAGTGCTTGAAGTCTGCGAAGCTGTTTCAAACGAATTAATTTCTGCTCTTGGGAGGAAAAAAAAAGGAAGAAAAAAAATGGGTACAAAATGGGTAGCTTGCCGCAATGAATTAGGAGTATCAAATGAACTATTAAATGAATTTCGGACCAGAATGTCCAAAGTTACAAAAACGTTATTGCATATCAGATACAAGAATTTAAAAGAAACTCAGTTTGAGAGAAGTTATTTAGTCAACTGTGTTTACTGAAAGTCAAATTAACAAAGTTTTTTTCTACTATATACAACTGTTTATTTACACCTAATTAATCATTTACAAAATAATGTAAAAGTAATGCCCCCCCCCCCCCCCCCCCCCCCCCCCCCCCCCCCCCCCCCCCCCCCCCCTGGTTTTATTATTTATTAATAGAAAGAATATATTTATTCATCCAGAATCCACAGAATCAGTAGCTCTCTGTGCATGATATAATTATGCAGAGTTCTTACTGGAACTGTGTTATCTCTAGAGAAGAATGCAAAGTTAGCACATGGAATATTTATTCAAAGCTACCATTAACGCGACAGAAGTAAACTGTATGATACCTAATTATTCGGAAAATCTTAAATAAATAAGAAGTAGCAAAAAACTTGGAAGCATTACATATGTTGCCACAGGTAAAAGAATATATATATTATGACATAGTTCCAAGAGGAAGATATTTATCGCAAATTGTTACTTTTGGATCCTACTGAAATTGTGTTTCTGGACAACACACAAAGTGATATCAACAAAATTAATAATGGGTAAATATAGTGATTATACTTTACTTTTAAAATGCTAAAACGGATAGTTTAAAGAGATTAGAATTCATCTAGTATAATTTGTATAAACCTTAATACACCTTCAGTACTTGCACTCACACATCCAAGCTGAACATGTTTCACATCCAAGCTGAATTGTAACGAATTATAGCCCAGAATGTTTTTATACAAAGCAAGAAATTTAAATATCCCCAATAAAACAGATCTACATATCTTTTCCATAATTTTTTTAAATTTTTATAGTTTATCATATATTTATTGCATCCTCATGTAGGGATGCTTGTAGAAAAATGAATATAAGCTCACATAATTATAGAAGTAAAACACTTCATAAGATGCGTATGCATTAAAAAATGCCATGGTTTGGCTATCGCTTAATCTCGGATTATAGAACTCACTGTCACGACGTCCCTGCGAACGCTGCGCGGAGTAACTGCCCGGAGAGATTTTTCAACAGATTCAAAGTAGAAACGGAAGCGCTGACTCATCTCCCTTACGTTTGTACTCCGTCGAAGTGAGCGTTTACATTGTCAAAGTAATCGTAAGGAGCGACTCGCTCCGAGCCGCTCTGACAGGTGTAAACTGACCTGAAGTTAGCTGAACGCAAGCTACTCACACGCATTTGTAATTTAAGTAGTGTGTGTGTCAGCTCGCTGTGAGTAATCTAACAACACTGAATAAATTATCGTTAATTACTTAGCAGTAAACATTTCATTGTTTTCTTCGTCGATATGTTATTTTATTATTATATATTATTATTTCCCGATATATTGGCCGGGCCGCAAAAATATTTGTTGTGGGCGGGCCGCGAGTTTGACATCGTTGCTCTACATCGTATCAAAGTGGCGAGATTATATTGGTGGTGAATTTATCATGAAGCTAAAACAGACTCTAGGGGAAAATATTGTTGTCTGAGATCTCTTTAAGAATATTGCTTATTTTAATGCTTCATCAGAAAATGGGAACACAGAAGTTAAGTTTGTCTTTGAATTCGAAATGCCTTTAGAAATATAAAAAGATATTAAAAAACATCAATTTTTTATTCGACCATACACAGCTGCTGTTAAATCAATACTGAGTTGTTTCCTATTCCCTAGCATTTCTTGTTTTCCTCCTATTGAATGTAATTTCTGTCACCTCAATTTCTTATTTCCCTCATGCTAGTGAATGTAATGCTGGAGACTGGCAGTGCACTGATGAAAAATGTGAAGCGAGATGTTCCTCAACGGGTGATCCACACTACACTACATTCGATGGTCTAAGCTACGAGTTTCTGGGGAGCTGTCCTTACTATCTCGTTTATCATACGGATTTCACGATTGTCCAGGAAAGTGGACCATGTCCAGCTTCAGCTAGTTCCGAACCTGCCACAGAATCAATGTTCTGTACACTTGCCATCAAGATCGCATACCTCGGTGACTCTCTAATTCTCCAGCCTGGAATAAAGGCAAGTTCTCTTTTAAATGTTTGGCTTGTTATAAATATTGCTTTATGGACTATTGATAACAAGCCCGCGTATTTTACTTAAAAAATTACTTTTCTAAATTCCTGTCGCTGTGAAGTTGGCATTCTACACCAACTGTTATGCAGCAGTTATCTATGTTCTGAACTTGGTGGATACGATTTACCGTTTTACAGGTATTCTAAAATAGTGCTCAAGATACAATTGCCTCAGTTTTTTATTCGCAAAAGTAAGGGAAGCCCAAGTAAAATTTTGAAACCTAATGTGTAAAAGTAATAATTTGATGAATACGTTTAAGTTTTTCATTATGTTGCGAGAAGTAATTAATTGATTGACACTAATTTGGAGACTAAACTAATAATGATTGCCTAATTAATATTTGTTCGTGGTCATTAACAGACCTTGCAAAGTTAATTGGTTAAAGTAAAGTATACGAGAGACATTTCCTTAAGTAAGGAAATCGCTCCATTAACAGACCTTGCAAAGTTGGTTAAAGTAAAGTATACGAGAGTAATCTCCTTAAGTAAGGAAAAAGTAAGTTCTCCACGAACGGTGTATGAAAGCAAACTGGCTGACATTCATGTTACAGTTGGAGAAAAATATGAAAATACCGACAACCAGGCTTTTCGCCGGGATTTAAAAACGTGCATGAAATTACATGTATTCTTGCTGCTCGGATACTGATGGGCGACCGTATATAAGCATTTCATAGAATATCTGCATTTACCACTTACATAATAGGGTTCCGATTTTGCTCAGGGTTTTCCAACTTTAGCTTTTTATACGAAATAAGGTACTTCATATCAAAAAGTAAAATCGGGTAAATCGGGTAAAATGTGATATAACGTTTTTATTTGTCTATCCATTTTTCAGAATTCTTTTGCTTTACATATAACATCATGTTATTCTATAATTTCTTTTATACTAGTTCTATGATATTTTTATATATTATTTTTGTTAATGAGTTACAACACCATAATATCAAATTCTAGACAACGGCCATCATTCATAAAAGCACTGTTTTCCGTTCTAGTAGGTAATAACTGCAAATCTGAATGCAAAAATATGTTCTGATCTTAAAAATGCGTTTTTGTTATATATGAACATTTACATTTTTGATAGCTTTGCAGTAAGAATAAAAACAACAAGCAGCAGTCTACCTTGGCTGAGGATCAGAAGCAAAATGTGTAGTTATTCAGTGTGGATGGTTAGTTTAAGAGAATTTCAGTTCTCGAAATTTTGATTTCAAATTCCGAATTAGCTACGCCAGTATTGTTATGCAAAAGGCATGTGATACGAATTAATTTAGAAATGACGCTGCCCAGAAAAAGCTATAATAAATAATTCCCGCTTTTCGGACAGAAAGGGAAAATACCCAAATTAAAATGAGGAATTAAGAGGCTATTGATAATTTAATTTATAATTTTGATTTACGCATTTTTTATCTTATACACACCTCAAAGATAAATACCCTCTTTGACAAATGCGTTAAGATAGTTTGATGAATATTTGATGAAACGGAAATCTTTATGATGAAACGTAATAATATATGCACCATTTAAACTAAACAAAGCGTATAAACTGTCTTCACTACTTCAAGTACAACGGCTCACCAGCGGCCGAGCGGTAAAGTCGCTGAACACTGGTAGTTCGGTCCGAGGTTCGAATCCAGCGAACGGGCTGGCTGCATGGGTGTTTTCGTGGTTTTCCACACGTGTAACGTGTATACGAGCTAGTTTCCCTTAGAAAGTCCTCCACGAAGGCATCCCTTCCCTTAGGCAGATAGCCCTAGTGTGCTTTGCCATAATTACACCAAATACACACTTCAAGTACAACACTTAGCTGTATGGAATTAGAATTAAATCAGCACTACAATGTTAGTTAATCATTGTTATTAGCGAATAAATATCCTTGGTTGCTATATGGTTTATAATACGATGTAATAATAGAAGAAAGTTAATTAGATAAATAAATAGCACTGCTGCAAAATATCCCACATTTTCTATCATAATTAACCGAAAGGAATATTTGTTTTCTTTATTTCATAGTTTGATAAATTTTATTTCATTTTTTCAGATGAGTTTTAACGAAAAAGAAGTTAGTTTGCCATTTTCTGCTATTGGATTCAATGCTGCAATGGTTTCAGATATCTTTTTAAGAGTAAGGACTTAATTATATAAGTTGTAAAATTTTTCAGGTTGTTATCTTAAATATACTTAAGCATGGTTTCAAATTTATATTAAAAGAGTATGTGAATTATGTGCATAAATTTTATTTCAATCTTAAAAACTGAAAGTGTTTTAGGCCTTTAGTTATGTTAAAATTTACACTAAGTTTAATTTCGTCTTCAAAAATTTGTTGAAAGTTTCTATTTGTGACTGTATCTTTTAAATAGACTACACGTATAAAAATAGGTAATTATGTTCTTTTAATGTATGCTATAAATCTATGTATATCTCTAAATTTTCTTTTTACAAAAATTGATCCCTGACGTATTTAGTTTCATTACAATGTAATTAAGATTTTTATTTTTGATTTTATTTGAGGGTGGAAAAACCAAGCGTATGGTTTGTTTCTTTTCTGTAGTCTAATATGTCATTTTGTACATGCTTTATTGAAATATTACTGAATACATAGATTATTACTGAGCTATATAGAATATAACGGAAATAAATATGACATCGAATGTTTCATATATCGTGAAAAAGCGAAAAATTGAATGTTAACTATACAAGTAAACATTCAATAAAAGTACCATAGACTCTCGACTAGCAGAGGTTATATTGAGGATGACGTCCTCGATTAACAGGGAAATTTCGGTTAATTCGGCAGTAGCAAGGAAAAAAATCACAGGAAAGAGAAATAAATCATAATAGAAAACAATTTACTTGAATTTTTAAACAATTTAATTTGTGGAATAAGTTCACTTGGTTACGTGTAAATAATACTTAAAACTAAAACACACTTCGAAACAGAAAGAACAGCACTTTTTTACATCTATTACTCTTATATTTTAACAGGAGTGAATGGGAAGCAGAAAATTAATAATGGCTGTACACTTAATTTATTTTTATGATTTAGTAATTTATTTTTAATGGATGATTTAACAACAATAAATTATATATAAAAAAAAATCTGAAATGTTTCAGATTTTAAATTACGTCCAAAGGGGTGTTTTTTTAACGTTTTGAGTGTTCCTTTATTTATTAAATATCATGTTCTTTGCTTAACCATAAAATTCAGTTCAAGAGCAATATCGCAAAATAATGTTTAAATTAAGCATATCTTTAGAATTTCGATATACACAGTCTCGCGAGCTGGGAGATAAAAGTAATATTTTTTTCTATATAACGTTGCCATTTCTCGCTTTTAAAGCATTGAGTTTGTAAATCAAAAATTCGTTAAATTTTTACAAAATATAAAATCTATATAAAAACAAATTCCAAATTTGGGATTTCAGATGCCCATATTCGCAGTAGGATTTCGTCTTCAAAATTCGATGGCTCTATGTACCATTGTTTTATCACAATGCGAGAAATAGACAATCATTTATGCAGATTTTTCATTATTTAATTTCTTCAAATATAATGCAGGACTCTAACGTTTTGTGGCAACAGTTTGAAAAGTGAACCGACGTTTAGAGTCCGACGCAAAATCGCAAAACGAAAACAATAGTCCTTCGGGACTGAAATCTCTTTGGACTAAAAGTAAATTTGTGCTTCTTTTCTTAATTATTTCGTTTTATTTATTATCTGCGGTTTTTTTTAACTGAAATTTGTTACTTTAGCTTGCGGGTTATATTCGGAATTCAGTTGGCTGATTGGTTTTTTAATAATTTTTAGCAAAACAAATTTAAACATATTCAGATGATAAACCCTCACCAGTTGAAGACAATACTACAAATTTGGCTGTTGTTAATCAGATTTCCCAAGAAAACATAGAGTCTCTGAAAACAACGAACAGAGTAAGACTAGAATTCAAGACACATCAAGAACAAGACGAAACTCTGAAAAAATGCTTTGAATGGGCAAATAAAAATCAAAATTCATATACTTTCGATGATGGCATATTACTTCATTCCGAATATATCTGTGGTGAAAACATTAAGCAAGTTGTGTTACCTTTAGAAAAAAGAAGGGAAGTCCTAAGAATGGCACATGAAATCCCTCTTGCCGGCCACCTCGGTGAGAAAAAGACAATTCAACGAATCAAGTACTCATTCTTTTGGCCTACTATTAAGCAAGATGTTAAAAAATTCTGTGAAAGTTGTAAAGAATGCCAATTGAGGAGAACAGTTACGTACAAAGATCGAATCCCAATTCAACCTATTGTTAGACCGGAAACACCCTTTGAAGTATGGAGCGTGGATTGTATCGGGCCATTAGAACCTCCATCCAGGAGAGGTCATCGGTTTGTGATATGTGCAGTTGACCTATGCACCAGATGGGCAGAAGCCACCCCCGTCAAAGACATAAGTGCGAAAACAACATGCAACGTTTTGATGAGGTTTTTTACTCAAACTGGATTTCCAAAAGTGATTTGTTCCGACCAGGGAACTAATTTCACAGCCAAACTCACCCGAGCCTTTGAGAACTTACTTGGTGTGTCTCCACGATTCTCCACTCCAGGACACCCCGAGAGTATGGGTGCTGTCGAGCGTTGGAATAGAACCTTAAAAGAGATGATGAACAAAAATATCCAAGAACATGGCAGAAACTGGGATTTGAATCTTCCCTATCTCCTGTTTGCCTACAGAGAAGTGCCACATAGCACCACTGGTTTGTCTCCCTTCCAGATGGTATATGGAAGAATACCACCAGGACCATTATCTTTGCTGAAAGAAATATGGACAGGTGAACGTAGCATTCCAGTTACAGCTTCCCGTTCAATTGAAAATTATCTACAAGACCTTTTAGAAAAATTAAGAAAAGCTCATGACATTGCATCAGCAAATTCCAAAATATCTCAAGAAGAGTACACTTCAAGATACAATTTACGTTCTCAAGAAAAGACTTTCAATGTTGGGGACAAAGTCCTCGTGTTAATGCCATCATCATCACATAAATTGCTCAACACGTGGCAAGGACCAGCTACCGTGATCAAACTTACCAGGCCACACTCTGCCAAAATCGAAATGGAAAACGGAAGTATTAGAGAAACTCCATATAAATAAGTTAAGGCCATTATATTGCTCGTGTAGATCACGTTGGTATCATTTTTGACCAAGATGAAGAGTTTGGAGATATCCACTATGCACCAGCAGATCTTATGAATAAATCTGCTGATGATATCTGGACCCATTTACAAAATTTGAAAGGCGACTTAAAATATTACCAACGGGAAGGACTATTTAAAGTACTAAAATCTTATGTAGATGTTTTCAGTAGCAAACCTGGTCAAGCCAATGTTGATGGTCATGACATCAAGGTTACAGAAGGATGTAATCCGAAAAGATTGAGGCCCTACCGTGTTCCTGTTTCACTTCAAGAGGAAGTCGATCGTCAAGTTAAAGAACTGTTAGAATGGGATCTTATAGAACCCAGTGACAGTAACTGGGCACATCCTATAGTATGTGTTGCAAAAAAGAATGGCGGCGTTAGACTGTGCATAGACTTCAGGCTTTTAAATAGCTTCACAATTCCGGACGCCTATCCGATGAAGATTGCTAAAGATTTACTATTCGAAATAGGGAAAGCCAAATTCATAACAGTTCTCGATTTAACCAAGGGATATTGGCAAATTCCTATGAAAGAAGAAGCTAAACCCTACACAGCATTTATCACTCATTCCGGCCATTACCAATGGAAAGTTCTCCCTTTCGGTTTGAAAAATGCTGGAAGTACCTTCCAAAAATCGATGGATAAGGTGCTTGCAAACCATAAGAACTACTGCCGTTCATATATTGATGATGTGGCAATATTTTCTGAAACTTGGGATGGCCACCTCTATCACATCGACCAAGTGTTTCAGACACTGAGAAACGCAGGTCTAACCGCAAATCTAGAAAAGTGTGATTTCGGAAAGAGTCACGTGAAGTTTCTAGGACATGTAATAGGTTCTGGCACTCACTCTCCAGATCCTGAGAAGGTAGAAGTCATCAGAAATCTGTCTAAGCCTACCACTAAAAAAGAAGTCAGGAGTCTTTTAGGGCTAGCAAGCTACTATAGGGATTATATCCCAAATTTTTCTGAGATTGTTTTACCTCTAACAAACCTTACAAAGAAGAGTGTTCCAAATAATATTCCATGGGACTCTGAAAAAGAAGCAGCTTTCAACAAACTTAAAGAAGAGTTGATTAAAATGCCATCTCTGCATACTCCGGACATCAGCAAGCCCTTTCAACTCTATACGGATGCATCTGCTTTCGCAATTGGAGCGTGTTTAGCTCAAAACGACGAACATGGCAAAGAAATGCCCATAGCATTTTTCAGCAAGAAATTAACGCCCTGTCAACAACGATGGTCAACCATCGAACGAGAAGCATTTTGTGTCATCGAAGCCTTGAAAAAATTTGACACATGGATTTTCGGTGCCAAAGTGCAGATTGTGTCTGATCACAATCCCCTCACCTACTTGACCCAAAGCGCCCCTCATGGTGCTAAACTGTCTCGTTGGGCCTTAGCGTTACAACGGTATAACATGACTGTGACATACCGCAAAGGAAGTTCACATGGGAATGCTGATGCTTTGTCAAGGTTAGCTGTTAACTCTTTCTCTCTCAATGAACTCTGAGCAGCATTGTCTCTACGGTGACGAATGTGCTTCTTGTGGGGGGACTTGTAAAGATCGATCGTAAAGATCGTAAAGACTTGTAAAGATCATGACTGACTTGTAAAGATCGTAACTTGACTTTGTAAAGATCATGACCTGTAAAGATCGTGAAAACGGGAAATATAAATAATAGGACAAGAACTTGCATTTTACGGTGTGGCAACAAGAAGAGGATTCGAAAGATTTTTATATATTTTGTTTTTAGAGAGTTTAGGATTTTGAATATTTTAATAGTTGTAAGAGTTTTAACTGCAGTAGTTAAGAGTTTAAAATTTTGATAGTTAGAGCTGCAGTATTTATTTTTTTTTGGTTCTGTTTTTAAAATTTAAATAAAAGTATTTTGTTTTATTCTGAAAAATTAGCTTTATTCTTCCTACAAGATTCAATATTCATTATATGAAATAAGGAAAGGATCTGAGCTTTATTCTTCCTACAAGATTCAATATTCATTATATTGAAATAAGGAAAGGGATTTTTACTCACGGCATCAGCACATTGTCACTAAATGCCTTTTACGAGTATTTAGCGAATCAGAAGTTTAAAATCATCATACAGTATAAATTCCATATTAACGAAAGTTTTGTACATGACATCAACACTAATTTTTATTTTTATAATTTTCTATTAATTATAATTTTATATAATATATTTTATTTCTATATTGCATAGTTTTTTATTTCTATGGTTTACTACTATATATCCTTTTCGTAGTTCACCTATACAGGGTGGGGCATAAAAAGAATTCGAGAAAAAGAAATACATGCGCACTCGTACATAAATTCATGTAAGTGTAAATTCTTATAGAATACTAAAATGGTTTGCTACCATAGCATGATACTGAAAGTGATAGTTTTCTGTTGCATCAATATATAGTTGCACGGATTTAATTCAATCCGTGCAACTATATATTGATGTTTAGCTATACATTTGGTACAAAACATTAACGAGGACGAAGTGACTGATGTTTCTGTAACTGCAAACTGATTCCTTTCTTACATCAGGCGATTAAAGCGCCCGCAAAGAAAATGCTCATATGTTAAGTAAAATCTGGAGAAAGCAGCTAATTTTTAAGCTTTACGGCCATTATTTGCTCCGGGGACATGGCAGGATTAAGACTTTGAGACGCCATAAGCACTTCAAAAATTTTGGTGTCCCACCTGTGTGTACGCTTGTTTTTTCTTTATCCCTTCTCTCGTTTGGTTTTGGTTTAGCTGCACTACGCATTCCATAGTAAAACCAGCAAAGAGAAATTTTTTGGTGCTGCGTTCCTGAATACCGAAGGACCTTTTTGTGATGCCCCCTATCCTTGATGCCATACATATACGCTTATATTGCTTAATGGGTAATCCAACCGTGTCCGCCGATGCCTGAGAGGTATGGCATGCCCAGCCTTCCTGCTCAAAGAATTAAAAACTAAATCAGCACACAGTATAAGCTCTGATTACCTTTCTTATTTGTTCTTGTATTATTGTTATTTATAGTATTCTTTCGTATGTCATCCTGCATATGCTCATAAAGTTGCATGAGATACAAGAATCAATCAAATTCAGGCAGTCTGCCCAGTTTTAGAAAGCTTTACAAGAACACAGAAAGAATCATAAATAATGTTAGAGCTCTAATCTGGCTGCTGTATTAATTAAATCCACGAAAACTAATGATCCAAATTTACTGGTTAAACAAACTCGATAAACTAATGAATAATTTTTTTATAAGATTCAAGAATGAAAATTACTTTACAGGTGATTCTGCAAAATGGCGTATCAGTGCTGTGGGATGGAGAGAACAGAATCTACGTAGACGCCCCACCGACACTATTTGGTCAGACGATGGGTCTTTGTGGTACTTTCAATCATAATCAAAATGATGATTTCCAAACGCCCGAGAAAGATGTAGAAGCTGATGTGGCAACATTCGCTTCTCGATGGCAAGCTTCTGATACCTGTCACAAGAGAACGCGCAGATCCATGAGATCACCTTGTGAGACTCAGCCCCAGAAGTTAAGTGATGCTAAGATGCTCTGTTCTGCTATAATAGGAGAAGTATTCCAAGGTTTGTTTCTAATTTTGATTGTCTTTTAAGAAATAAGTATTATGTAGGATCTGTCAAAAAACGCTCACTCCAGCTTTATCTTTTGAATCACTGACCTATACTTTTAATTAAAAATTTTCTCTAAGTATTGTGAGAAGAAATTTTATTGCTTTAAAAATTGTTAGGAATATAATTTTTAATGCCTATGTTACGAAGAACACAGAAAATATATAAATCAAATATATTTAAAACAGTTCGTTCAGTTGCGGGCCTGCCTCTACCCGAGGCTGGTGCATTATGAATAAAGACAAAAAAATTCTTAATAAATCATTCTTTATTTCCATCAAAACAGTATCACTCTTCCGAGATCAGCTTTCGTTCGTCCACACGCAAAACATTCGAAAACACTCAGCACGCAGGCTGACGTCACAAGCAGCAGCGCCTCGCGCCGGTTATTAACTTCAGTTCATTCACAACATCCTCCCCCCCCTTGAGACTCAGGTTGAGTCTCAAACTCATAACAAACATTATTTAAAAGATCAAGTCTTTTTGGAACTTTTACAAGTCGTCCAGAGGAGGAATATTGTTGCATCACCATTTTATCAGGTGCAATACTCTTTTTTAACGTACACCCAGCACTAGAATTAGATTCCTCTGCACCCCAGTTTCTTATCAGGAATATTTTTTTCTATCATTGGACTGTATCTCCAGAGGAAAGATGCGTTGTATTGGTCGTATAACTATTCCATGCCGGGTCTTAAGTTTAACCGTACGAATCTTTCCATCACGTCCAGGGATCAATTCTGTAATTCGGGCTAAAGGCCAAAATAAACGTTTTCTGTTATCATCCCCCATCAGTACTATTTCTCCTACAACAGGTTCCCGAGATCGCTTTTCATTATGCTTTTGAACCAGTTGACTAAGGTATTCTTTTCTAAATCGTTGTCTCAGATCATTTAACAATTTAGTTCTATACTTTAATCTCTTATTAAGACTTGACGAATTTAATTCATCAAGATCTTCAACATTGGAATTTCTCTTCTCGATAAGAAACATGGCGGGTGTCAGAGGGACTAATTCTTGCGGATCTTCAGAAACATATGTTAAGGGTCTACAATTAATTATAGTTTTCACAATCACAAATAATAGTATAAAGTTCTTCATATGATAACACTGATTTACCTAAAGTACGTTTCAGCAATTCTTTTACTGTACGAACCAACCTCTCCCACCAGCCGCCCCACCAAGCTGCAGTAGGTGGAATAAATTTCCAGAGTATCTTTTCAGTTCTCATTTCTTTTAATACTTTAGCCCAATTTAGTTTTGATAATCATTAGATGCACCCCGAAAATTTGTCCCGTTATCACTATAGATTATTCTAGGGCGTCCGCGCCTAGCAACAAATCGTCGAAGCGTCAGAAGAAAAGCATCAGTAGAAAGAGAATTTACGAGTTCAAGGTGAATGGCACGGTACACAGCGCACGTGAACAGCGCGATCCACACCTTTCCTCCATTTTTTAAAAACAGGGTCCAGCCAAATCAATCCCTATGATTTCAAATGGCGCACAATCCGTAACTCGGTCTGGTGGCAGAGGTGTCGGTTCGCTTGACATAGCCTTAGTTTTAAATCTTTTACAAACGATACAGTTAAAGAGGACATTTTTAATGGCCTTTCTAGCTCTGACTATCACAAATCTTTCTCGTAATATACATTGCATCATCTGAAGACCAGCATGACAGTTCTTATTATGCACATTTTTGATTAATAACTTAGTGAAATCACATTTTTCTGGTAACAGTATTGGATACAGAAAGATTCATAGTCATCTCTATTTAGTATTCTCGTTTTAACTCTTAGAATACCATCATCATCAATGAGCGTTTCAATAAAATTATAAGATTTCTTATCAGTCAGATAATAATTTTGAACCAAACGAATTAAATTTTTCTCAGAATTTTCAATTTCATACTGTGAAAGTTCAATGTTTCCATTCTTTTCAGAACCACCTTTACAATTATTTACAAATCTAAATATCCATGCAAATACTCTAATCATTTTATCATAATTGGATACACTGATTCGATGCCAAGGGGGTGCGTCTTTTGATAGATCAATATTCATCTTTTTATCTTTTTCCTCTCCAATTCTACTTCTTCATGCAAATAAATAATCTCACCAGTGGGCCAGTTTTCAGGGCCTTTCTCGCAACCACAAGGGGCCTTCCCACCATCTAGACCGAAGCATTTGCTTCGCAAAACATCCGCGCGATAACAAGTCGGCAATATTTAGTTTCCCTGGGATATGTCTCCATGAATGACCTCGCGTCAACTCTCGAATCTCTTTAACCCTATTTTCGACGAAAAACGGACCAATTTCCTTGCTCTGTTATCCACCAAAGGGCAGTGGTTGAATCAGACCAGAAGGTAACTTTTAAAATCGGGCAAACTGAGAGCTTTGATAATAGAATTTGCAAGTCTAGAACCTATACAACAGGCCATTAATTCTAAGCGAGGAATGCTTAAAGATTTCAAAGGCGATACTCTAGACTTCGCCCGTACGAGATTTATTTTTACTTCAGAATTAAATATTGATCGAACAAAGACGCACGCTGCATACGCCCCCTTGCAAGCATCCACAAATACATGTAGTTCAGACGTGTCATTGATAAACAAGTATCGAGGCAAAGTAACATCTTTCAAAACATTAAGTTCTTTAAACCAGTTCAAAAATATATTTACATCATTCGGAGACAATTCATCATCCCATGCAATTTTCACTTTCCACAATTTTTGCAACAACAGTTTTGGAAGCAATGTAGTTGGCGTTAATAAACCAATAGGATCAAAAATTGTCTGCACAATTGCCAAAAAAATTGTCCTCTTTGTGATTTTCGTATCACAGGTCAATGTATCTGTGTCTGTGCAGCACCTCAGCGTATCATTATCCAAATTCCAAATTACCCCCAAAACGGAAGTATCCCCTGAATGTTTGTCAACATTTGAACCAGCCACATTGCTTTCAAAACCGCGCAAGTTAAAACATCCATTTGACATGATTAATTTTGGAATGTTCAATAAACGTAAACTGTTCATCAATACTAAAAACACTAGATAAACAATTATCCACATAAAATGACGATTTCAATTTTTGAGCAACTTCACTATATTGACGTGGACAGTTTTCTAATAGATGCATTATAGATGCGTTCAACAAGTAGGGGCTCAAAGAAACTCCAAACACAACTCTGCAATGCCTATAAATTAATTGCTCTTCATTGCATGGGAAAAAAAATCTGAGAAAATCTCTATCTTTAGATGCGACGGATAACATTAAAAAAGCCTTTTCAATATCGGCACTAATACCAATCGGATACATTCTAAAACGATCTATAATATCAGGTATTAATTCAATAAGATTTATTCCTTTACACAAACATTCGTTCAAAGAGTTTCCCTTTCTCAGATGCAGAAGCGTCAAAAACAGGACGAATTTTCGTGGTTTCACTTCCTAATTTGATTACAGGCCTATGCGGCAAATAATGACATTCATTATTCAGTTCGTTTTCTGGTACGCGTTCAATAATATTCAACCTTTCCCATTCCTTGAACACATTTTGATAATCATCGAAAAATTTACTACATCTGAGTTTATAGATCATCTTTTGATACCTTTTCCATGATAATTCTTTATTATCGGTTAAATGTGTCGTATCACATTTCCACGGAAGTTCTACTTCATATCTTCCATCTGGAAGAATTTTCATTTTGTTCTCAAATTCAGATAAATTAAAACTTTCATTCATTTTAACAGTTTCGTTTGGAGCGCATATTCCTATTTTTTCAAGTTCCCATAACTCATTCAGAGGAATTCTCCTGACATGCATTGAAAATGTTTTCAAAATATTATCCTTTTCACCCGAATTTCGTTTGCCAAATACCGTCCGTCCACCCAAGTTTCGTTTCGACAGCCGTTACCCCGGACTGTAATTCAATAGAATTTCCCGTCAATAATTTTCCTATAACATCTGCTCCGATTAAAAGGTTAATTTCAATTTCCTTTCGCAATGGATCAGAAAATTCGATTTCTTTTTCTCTTTAATTCATTCAAAATCTCTTTATCCTTAACCTTAGGAATAAAACCGCAAATCTTTTTTTCCGATAATGCCTCAAAACTACATGCGAATGTTCCTTCCTTTTAAATTGCTGACCTCGACCGAAAACACTTCATGTTGTTTAGGTTTCGTTTCGTCCCCCCCCAAACAGTGCATGTATAACTGTCTCCTCCCGAAGTGGAGATGCTTTAAGCTGACTCATCATATTTTCACTAACGTAGCTACTTTGGCTTCCGCTATCAATTATGCAGCGAATAATTTTCTCGCGACCTTGACACCGAATTCGAACGCAAAGCGTTTGCAAAAATACAGTTTCGCTTCTGCTACAGTTAGAAAGAGAACTCTCTTTTTGAAACATTTATCTGATCATTATTTTTTAGCTTTTGATTACACATTACATCAAAATGATTACAACTTTTGCAAATAGAACAACTTAACTTACCTTTGAAAGGACAAAATTTACTAATGTGACTCGCTCTTTTCAGACAAGAAAAACAAGCACCTTTTTTCAACAACAATTGTTGTTTTTCAGCTAAAGTCATTTTTTTTGCAGAGTAACATTTTTCACTAAAATGTTTCTTTTCACAAAAAATTACAGTTCGGAACACTCTTACCTGAATTCTCAAGACTTACTAGAGCTGACGCTGTTACGGGTTCATTTTGCTTTACCTGTTCGTGGTTAAAGTCTTTCTTCCGATGGTTCTGTTGGGAAGCGAAACCAGTTCTTGCGAGTAGAACCATCTCTTTCCCCCTTAACTTCCTGTTTTAAGAAATTCATTAAATGTTGCAAGGATCGAGTCCCTTTAGTTTCAATGGAGTCGTGATTTCTGGCTTCTTTCCCATGCCATCAGTACTTCTTCTGGTAAGCAACTTTCCACTAAGGGGGTCAAAAAATCCCCATATTTTTCTTGGGTTCTCCCCAAACTTTCCAACGCTCGCAATTTTCCTTCTAGTTCATCATACAGGGAGGGTAGATCAGTTTTTGCTCTTCCGGTTACAGCGTTCTTCATCACTAGGCTTAACAAGTCTCTCACATAGATTTGCACAAGTAAATCTTCGCGTCCAAAGCGCTCTCTTAGTTGTTCGATGGCTTTAGGATAATTAGCTGCCGTTGCCGGGAAGCTAAGGACTAGGCGTTCTGCCTTCGATTTGGGTTCCTTTGCCTGCAACAGATACTGAATTTTATCTTCATCGGCGATACTTTTGTCGTCGTGGATTTTCTGGAACTGACTCCAAAAAGTCAGGTAATCTTTAACTTCACCACTGAATTTTTTAAGCTCAATTTTAGGCAATTTAAATTTCCTCGATTCTGAGTTACTTGGAAGGAGAGGAGGCTTGTATTTCCGCATCTATTTGAGCACACTGTTCTAGAAACTTATCTCGATAATCTCCGCTTCTTGAAAATCATCACTAAATAATTTTTCTCCATCTTCAGTCTGCAGAATCTGCTGCGATATAGCACTCTGGCATACGTCAAGTCTCTGGAATTTATCACAAAGTTGACACTTCAAAATCGAAAGTATTTTCAAATCTCTTACTTCTTTAGTTAATTCACTTTCGGTTTTCCTTGAGGTTTGCGAAAACGCAATTCTAAGTCCTTTTCTTTGAGCCTTTAAAGCGATCAAATCCATCTTCAAAGTATATTCAAAATCGAAATTCAATAACAAAAGTTCAATCGGAAAATTCTAATTCAAAGCACCCGGTCCCGCCGAGGGTACCACTATGTTACGAAGAACACAGAAAATATATAAATCAAATATTTTAAAACAGTTCGTTCAGTTGCGGGCCTGCCTCTACCCGAGGCTGGGTGCATTATGAATAAAGACAAAAAAAATTCTTAATAAATCATTCTTTATTTCCATCAAAACAGTATCACTCTTCCGAGATCAGCTTTCGTTCGTCCACACGCAAAACATTCGAAAACACTCAGCACGCAGGCTGACGTCACAAGCAGCAGCGCCTCGCGCCGGTTATTACTCAGTTCATTTCACTCGGATTTCCATTCAAACTCTGTTGTGAGAACTAATGGCTCTCTAGATCATTAATACAAATTTTTACCAGTGTAATAATTTTTAACAACATATTTTAAAACAGATACATAGGTAACTTCGAAATTTTTGAGACACGGGCATACAATATGCGCTAAAAAACAATTATTTGTTACGTATGTCAGTTTGAACTTTTTTATATATAATACTATAATTCGTGGCAAAGACTACGATTTATCTATAGTAATGTATCTATCTAGGGTTAATACATTTGAAGAAAAAAAAAATGAAATTGACATGAGAGCATTACAGCGCTATGATTTGCAATGATTTTAATATTGTCCTAAATCTAGAAGATAAGTCTAATTTTCAATTGGATCTTCTCTCTATCTGGATTTCAAATCTGAAATTGTGTTAATTATGTTTGAAAAGTTATGTCCTTAAAATACGTACAAACATCTACAAAGTTATGGAGCCGATTATTCATAAATAATCGAGATTTGAAAAAAATCTTTATAATTTAATTAAACTACATGCATTACTTTAATTCTACATGTCTATTTGAATGTTTGTACATCTTATGCATACCTCTGGAGAAAGCACTTATTCGAATATTCTTTGATTTTCCCCTGCTATTTTCATAAATTTCTGAAATGCGTTCAAATCGGTATTCTTTATTAAGATGAGATTTCATTTCAGGGGAAAAAATAGGTTTTTGATGGCAAGTTTGCTGAAGGGAAGGATTAAGAACAATTATGTTTTTCTTTGGAATAAGACCTTTCATTAATCCACTATGGAAAGGAAGCTTTATTGCATTTCGTTGTTCATTCTTTGAATCCTTACCATGAGTTATTGCTACGTAAAACCAGGAAGTTTTATTTAATTATGTATGAAAGTATTTTTTATTTCTTCTTGTAATTGCAATGTATTCTGAAGAAATAAAGCTAAGAGGAGCTGGTAATCAGTGACATTAGTTACAGTGCGTCTAAAAAAGAATTTTTAGAAGCATTGCATTGTGAACAAAAAAAAAAAAAAAAAAAAAAACCTCTTATTCACTTGCTTATAACAGTATTTTTCTCTTCGAAAACAGCTTGCCATGGTGAACTAGAACCCGATGTCTATTATAAGAGCTGCATATCAGATCTCTGTTTATGTGGAGAAAATTTACAAGATTGCGTTTGTCCAATACTTGCCGATTATAGTTTATCTTGTGCAAAAAGGGGCATTATTCTCAACTGGGTGGATGACATTCCTCCATGCAGTAAGTATTTTTTGTCATTTTACCGCAATAAACTCTAGCAAGAAACTGTAAACTATTTTTATTTCCTTAACAAAATACAAATAGCTTTATATTAAGATGATGCGTATTATGGAATATCATTTGTTAGTTTTCTAAAAATGTTTTAACTTTCCCGTATTAGTGCTTTGATATTATGACATAAACATAGTTGTCATAGTTTCACTCCCACAAACTCTTTGTGGATTCAGTTTTAAATTTTAATCATTTATGGAAATTACTGCAATCTATGCCAAAGTAGCTTCGGTTTTCAGAGTTCCAATACTTCCAAATCATTCATTGGTCAAGAAATGACGTTTTGGCATCATGGAGCATAGTTTTTCTAATCTTTTCTAGCTTACAGCTTTTTGGAGATTTAATTTTGCTTAGCACCAAGTTTATTCAGATTCCCCATATCTTTGCAGCTGTGCAGTGATATCATTGCCGAATAAATGAAAAGAATGAATCCAGGAATTTTCCCCCCTAGATTTTCAGTTGCTTTAAGCGGATGAATTGGCATCTACCAGATAAAGTGAATCACAAATACCCCGTTTTAGATCCTGATTTGAGATGCCATACGCCGTGTTTTACTACATGTATGAAGAATGGATTCTGAAAACTTTGGTGTGTTTCATGTAAGGATTTGAGATTTTAATGTTGAAATAATGAGGCTAATCAGGCTTAAACATTTGTGTCAAAGATTTTTAAAGTGCTACATTTTCCAATTTCCCCATCTGCTTCTCAGTGCCTCTTCTGCTTCTGTTACTAGTAGTGCCATTGCTAGATTTCCTCTTTGCTTACTAATAGGTAGTAGTGATCATGATGGCAGACTATGTCATGGGCTTCTAAAGTGAAAGAGACATGCAAATCTGAATTACCATTGCAGTCCTAACCCTTTAACGTATTTGATTCCCATGTTATTTCACTCTGAGCTAAGATGTACATAATTTTCTCACATCTTTAAAATTTTACCAATTTTTTTTCTTTGCAGTTATAGATTCCTTTCACTTTTTGAGTTAGCCATTTTATTTGTGTATTTGAATGCACACTAACTCTTGCAAGTAAAGGTATAAAAATATCATTGCGATCTTATCATTCTAGAACCTGACTGCACGGGTGGTCAAGTGTACAAAGAATGTGGAAACCCTTGCACGAGCAGCTGCATGGCTATAGCATCTTCCGAGAATTGCAAAAGCCAGTGCGTGCAAGGCTGTATTTGCCCTGACGGAATGACGATGAGCAGTGAAGGGTTCTGCATTGCGATAGACCAGTGTCCTTGCGTATTTGATAATAAAGAATACTCACCTGCGAGTGTTACAGTTCAAGGTTCAAGTATTTGGTAAGTAGAATATAAAATTCAACTTAACTTGTAGCACATGAGCATTTGTAGCATTGCAATAAACATATAATTCTATGGAATACTCAGTTAATCTTGCGAAATACTCAATACTTAATTAATTAGGAATTTGGCATTCTGATATCGACATAATGGTTAGCGATGCTAGTAATTGTTGGGTCCAGATTGAATCCCGGAGAAGGCTTGGATTTTCGTAACTGCATAGGGTCTCTACAGCATGGGGGCATTTAAAATACTGGTTAGTTAAAAGTATTTTAGAGAGGTTTGATGGTAGGGAAAGAGGTATGGAAGATTTATAATTTGGTCCACCGACGTATTCTTCCTAAAAATTAGGACACAGTTTCCTCCTTCTCACGGGTGTAATTCGGTTATCCTCTGTGGTTCACCCGGGCAATTTTCTTCGTGATGAAACAGCTAAATGACCAATGGGTATTGGCTTGGCTATTGCCACTGAATGCATCAAGTTGCAAGTGTCTGGCCATATGGAGGAGGAAAAAAAAAACCAGAGAGAGGAGAGTCGCATATGCTTCAGAAAGAATAATCAGATGTAGGACTGAAGTATACGCGAAATTTAAAAAAAAGAACAATAAAAAAAATAAATAAAATAAGTATTATCCTAGTAGTGAAAAATGAAGTATTCTGATTCACTAACTTACAAAAGCCTGACGAATGATTATAGAAAAATCTCAAATGTGTTGCAAATTTCATTGTTAAAAATAAGTGAATTTTTTTGCCAGTTCATTTGTTTTTTCTCTGACATCCACAAACACAGAAGTTTAGTAACGGTATATAACAGCAAATTAAAAAGTTGATTTTTAAAATGTTTCCTCATAAGCTAGCATTCGTCCATATTTTCTTTCCAATTAAATTAATAATAAAATGTTCTTCACACTTATATGCATAATTTTTAAATTTTAAAGCAATAATCTCACTTAAAATCGATTGATCTGTCAGTTTGAGTAAGGATATGTTATAGGTAGTATTATTTCAAAAAGAAAAAATTGTTATTTCAAGCAAGGAAAAAGTTTAAAATCCAAAATTTTCATTGACCAAAAACTTTCCCAAATAACCTTCAAACATAAGAATAAGATAAATGCTGTATTCCTTCATGTAAGGATCTTTTCACAGGAAAGCAGATGAAAGTTAAGGGTGCAGTTTTATAGCGAATGATTAGTGCTCCGTCCCATCCTATTGTTGCAACATTCATCTCACTAGAGGGCGTTGCGAGCCCCCCTTTTAACCATGGTTCTTTAACCGACAGAACTTCTGTAGACCGCGAATAGAGCGGTTGTTCCTTTTGGGCTCCTGCGCCATCTCTTTGTAATAGCCATCAGCGCTAGCAAGAGCGTACAGCTCTGATCGTTCAGGCCCCTGTGCCTTTCTATTGATGAATAAACCTTTATAATTGATCACAGTCCATTATTCTTTCGACGGATCTCACTCCTTGACATTTGGTCCTTAACGACCCGGAGAGCGGATTAAAGTGACGTTAGCATATCTTAAAAGAGAGAGAGCTTCTTTGAAAACGGAAATTACACAAGTAGAAACTTTTATTCCCAATATCACCTTGGATGCGCCGCCTTCAGCTGTGGAAATAAATATTAAATTGAATTCCACGAGGAAATCCGCTAAAGACTTAGAAGAGCTGCGGAACCAATTTTATCGAGAAGCTAAATACGAAGAGTTACAAGAAATAGATAAGGATCTAGCAGATATGGACTCAAGAATAGAAAAGAATAAGGTAAGTCTTTTAAACCTCATTTCTTCATTATCAGAATTATTAGATGGTATATTAATAGAGAAAGCGGTTAATACGGCAAGGTCGAAATCAGTCGAAATCCCATTGACCGCAAATACCATTACCAGAATTTTCCGATCGTTATGAAGATTTTAATGCATTTAAAATTGCATTTCAAAATCTTATTTCTTAATAATCCTTCATTTATCAAACTCTCGAAAAGGTTTTTTATTTGTGTACATGTTAAAAAGACAAAGCAAAGCAGATCGAAACAGCAGATGACACTTACGAATCTTTGATGAAAGCACTGGAGGAAAGATACGAAAACAAAAGAATTTTAGTAGATACTCATATTCGTAATATTATGACTTATCCGAAGTTAAAATGTCAATCAGCAAAAGAATTGCGTGATTTGTTAGATTGTTTAAAAAAGAACTTGCACGCATTGAAACTGCTCAGTTATGAGCGCGACAAATTATCAGACATTTTATTAATAAACATACTTTTCCAAAAATTAGACCTTGAATCACGCAAACAATTCGAGATGTCAGCTAATTCAACTGAAGTTCCAGAGTTAGATGACTTCATTTCCTTCTTAGAAAAAAGAAGTCAGGTCTTAGAAAGTATTTCTAGAAATGTACCACAAACTAACAAGGTTTTGAATAATTCTCATATTTCCGCAAATTCTTCATTTAATCGTTCTAAAAGTCTTCTAATTAAATCTAACAACGGAAAGGAAGAATGTAGAATATGCCTTTCTAAGCACTCGATATATAAATCTGAAGCGTTCAAAAACGCTACTATTAATGAAAGAATTGATCTTGTTAAGAAGCATAAGCTTTGTTCTAATTGTTTACAACCCTTTCACAAGGTCATTGACTGCAGATGTAAAACCAGCTGCCTCGCTTGTGGGGATAGGCATCACTTATTAATTCATAATAGTGTCAAGAGAGAACTACCGCAAGGTCATAAGGCCTTGTCACCTATGGCTGAACCATGGACCCAGCCAATGAAGACGGTTTCTTCTTCCCCTTCGAAGGGAGCGGATGTGGCAGGTGAAACAACGGGACAGAGATGCGAGTCTTCTCAGATTCAAAGTTCTCCCGATCAAAGCTCTTTGATCGTTTCTACTGAAACCAAAACTGTCTTACTAAGTACAGCTGTCGTTTACATTCGGCCATACCGGAAATTGTGCACGTCCCGTAGTAGCGGTTTTGGATTCCGCTTCGCAAACCAACTTCATTACTTCATCATGCGCTAATGCATTGGGTTTACCAAAACAGAGAACTTACGCACCGATCTCTGGAATAAACGAAACAATCATAAACATAAAGTCGAAAAATAAATGCTAAAATATCAAGCAAAGAACACACATCTGAATGGAATTTGGATTTTTTCATTGTCCCCAAAATTACGGATATCACTCCTTCAAAACCCCTAATGATTTCGAATAGTGTTATTCCAAAAAACACAAAATTGGCTGATCCTCAATTTTTAAAACCTAAAAAAATAGACTTGTTAATAGGTGCCGAACTATTTTTTGAAATTTTAGAGATGGGAAAAATTTGAACCGAAGATAACGGACTGCTTTTCGATGAAACAGTTTTCGGATACATAGTTTCAGGTGCATTAGAAACTAAAGGTATCACCAAAGCAATACTGTTATCTGACAACAAGTCTAGAGTCTTTAAATGAAACGATGAAACAATTTTAAGAGGTGGAAAGCATAGAAGATTATAAACCCCCGCCTAGTAAGGAACTGCAATAGTGCGAAGAAAATTATGCAAAAACCCATAGCAGAAAATCGGATTGACGTTATGTAGTAAAGATGCCTGTAAAAACTGATGAAGAAAATATAACTCTTGGAAGTTCTAAGGAAATTGCGTCAAAACTCTTGGATCATTTATGGAATCGTTTGGAACGCCAACCACAAATGAAGAAGCTGTATACTGAATTTATGAGAGAATACGAACAGCTAAATCACATGATGGAAATTGAAACTGAAACTGAGGCTGCCTATTACTTACCTCACCACGCGGTTTATAAACCGGAAAAGAGTAGCACTAAACTTCGGGTGGTTTTTAACGCTAGCTGTAAAACAACAAATGGACGTTCATTAAATGACATTTTACTAAAAGGTGGCACAATCCAAGATGATTTATTTTCAATTATGCTGCGTTTTAGAAAGCATGTATATGCATTTACTGCGGACATCGAAAAGATGTATCGCCAAATTGAAATCGATCCTTCTCAACTTGATCTCCAAAGAACTCTGTGGAAGACGGGCACAAATGAACCTAGCAAATGTTATGCGCTTAAGACTGTAACGTATGGAACCGCGTGTGCTCCCTATTTGGCAACCAGAACCTTACATCAACTAGCTTATGATGAGGCGGAAAGCTTCCCTCTTGCGTCTTCTGTTATTTTAACTGACTTTTACATGGATGACATCCTCTCTGGAGGATTAGAACTAAGTCAGGTAAGAAAATTGTGTTCCGAGTTGACAATGATGAATCCGAGTTTACAACGCGGAAAGATGAATTGCACAAATGGTCTTTTAATAAACCAGAACTCTACGCTGATATCTCTACGAAGCAGAATTATGCTTTTCCTTTCCAGGATGATAAAAGAACTGTCAAGGCTTTAAGTATCAAATGGAATACAACAAATGATTCCTTTTCCTATAAAGTCACCATCAGCTCCCGTCTTACTTATACGAAAAGGGAAGTCTTATCAGATATCGCCCGCATATACCATCCTTTGGGCTTAATTGGCCCAATAATCACAAGAGCTAAAACCTTTATGCAATCGTTATGGCTTATTGACATTGATTGGCATGAGCATCTTCCTGAACTTTTAGCTAAGCAATGGACACATTTTGTTTCTACACTTACCGAAATCGAGAAGCTTCATATTTCTAGACGGGCTGTGAACCCGAATACTACAGTTGTGCTCAATGGTTTTGCTGACGCTTGTGAAACAGCATTTGGAGCGGTTCTGTACCTTCAATCAATATCTAGTGAGCAGTGTTCTACTGAACTGTTGTGTAGTAAATCCAGAGTGTCACCATTAAAGAAAATCTCTGTACCGAGACTCGAATTGTGTGCGTGTCTCCTTCTAGCTCAACTGGTGAAGAAGGCTCTCTCCGCGCTGAAATTAGATATCAGTAAAGTATTCCTGTGGTCAGACTCAACGATCGCATTAGCCTGGATTGCCACATCGCCTCATTCACTCAAAACGTTTG